AAGGAGTGTGGAAAGAAGCCGACCTTTCCACGGAGTCAACGTCCTCTCCCGGCACCAGCCCACAGCGACTACCCGTTCCCCAGGGAAGACGTCGGTGGAGCTGAAGCAACTCAAAAGGAAGCTAGGGGTCTACAAGAAGCTGCAAAAATCCCGAACTCCTTCTTCGGATGCATCCAACTCGGCAACTTCGTCAACGACAAGAACAATCGTCACGGAAACTCCGGGCCTAGGAGAAGAGCCTTTCTCCAAGCAGCCTAGGCCAGCTGCCAGCTCAGGAGTAGGAAGCAACGAACATTGGGATGTACCCTATGACCCAATCAATGAAACTATCTTTGGGTACAGTGAGCAACGCCTGCCCTTCGTGCTCGAGGTCATCTGCAAAGGACGACGCCTCCAAGCACTCGTGGACAGCGGAGCATCGCACACCGTATGCAACAAGGCAACTATCGACTGACTTCGAGAAGAGTACAAGCCTTCAGGATTCTCTTCAACGATGGTGGATGGCAGCAAGTTACCAGTATACGGCGAAGCAGTGCTACACCTACAAATCGAACCACTGCGCTGGAAACCTGCACTCCCCATTACCAACATCAAAGGGCTTGATCTGATCTTCGGGCGTGACTTCCTAAAACGATTCAACCCCGAGATCAACTGGGTGAACCGCACCGCAAGCATCTACAACAAATGAAGAAGAGTCCAGCTACCCAACTAGGACGATACAGGAGATATCCCAGTGGAGACACTCGCCAGATTCGAGAAGGACATCAAGCGAACCAAAACCGGATTCCACCGTATCCAACAGAGGTGGAAACTGACGGAGAGAAGACCTCGGAACCTCCAGGGAAAATCAAGGACTTACTAAAGGAGTTCCAAGGCATTCTCCCCGACGACCTCCCGGACAAGCTACCGCCATACCGAACGCACCAACACGAGATCGTAGAGGAACCAGGTTCGAAGCCGACCTTCCGAGCACCATATCGGCTCAGCCCCACCGAGCTAGCCGACATGAAAAAGCAAATCAAGTATCTCCTCGCCAAAGGACTCATCCGACCATCCACTTCACCATACGGTGCCCCAGTACTCTTCACACCACGTCCGCACCATTACTCATATTGCCAGACCCCGAACGCGACTATGTCATCGAAGCTGACACCACGGACCAGGCAGCGGGAGCAGTCTTGATGCAATACCAGGGGAATGGACTGCAACCAATCGCCTATCTCAGCAAGAAATTACACAGGGCAGAACTCAACTACCCGATACACGACAAGGAGGCCCTTGCTATCATCATCGCCTTTAAAACATGGAGATGCTATCTCCAAGGACGCAATACAAAAGTCTACACCGACCATTGCAGCCTAAAATATTTCAAGACGCAACCAAGCCTCTCCAAACGACAGGTTCGGTGGATCGACTTCCTCGAGACACACTTCCACTACGACATCGTATACAAGCCTGGACATAAAAACAAAGCAGATGCGCTTAGCCGGCCTGCACACGTTGCCGCTATCCAAATTGAAGGGATGAATCCACTACTCAAGGGACTCTTCACACACGGGTATACCATCGACCCCGAAATTCCCTTGGCACAGAAGCGACATCTACTACTGTGGGACAACGACATCGCGTACCAGAAAGGATCAACGGAGATCTGGGTACCTAATTACCCTCCATTGCGCCAGTTACTACTCGAAGAATACCACGACGTCCTGTATGCATGACACTTCGGTAGCAACAAGACGCTCACCGGTATTGCCAAACACTACTACTGGCCCCACATGGCAGATGACGTACAGAAATTCCTCACCTCGTGCACTACATGTCAGCGGATGAAGAGCAGCAAGCAGAAAAAGGCAGGACTACTACAGCCTCTTCCTGTCCCAGAACAGCCATGGCAAGTGGTCAGCCTCGACTTCATCACCTAGCTACCAACTACCACAAGCGGTCATGACGCGATCCTCGTCGTCATTGACAAGTTCTCCAAAATGGGACACTTCATCCCGACACACACGACAGCACGCACCGAGGAGACGGCACAACTCTTTGTTCGCTACATCATCTCACAACATGGCATTCCAACCACACTCATCTCCGACCGAGACTCTAAGTTCACCAGCAAATTCTGGAAAGAACTGATGTCTCTACTCGGAACCAAACTCGCCATGTCATCCGCCTACCATCCGCAGACAAATGGACAGACCGAGCGCCTCAACCAAATTGTGGAGCAACTCCTCCGCGCATCCTGCAACGACGACATCTCCAAATGGGACTTGCATCTGCCCGTCTTGGAGTTTGCCTACAACAATGCTACTCACGCCGCCACTGGACAGACGCCGTTCTTCCTCTGCTATGGACGCCACCCACTCACACCTCAACAGCCAAACATACCAGCCACAGTCCAACCCGCTCATGATTTCATCACGACTATGCACAAACTTTGGGATCGGACCCACAAGCGCCTTCTCGACATTCAGCAGCAACAGAAGCGCCAGGCCGATCGCCACCACACAGACCACACCATCACCGTGGGAGACCGAGTCCTACTCAATACGCGCAATCTTGACATCAGCCATCTCCCATCCAAATTGCGACCTCGCTTCTGCGGGCCCTTTCTCGTTGAAGCACAGGTCACTCCTGTTACCTTCCGCTTACGCCTTCCAGCTACCTGGAAGATTCACAACGCCTTCCATGTCCAACTCTTGAAACCCTACCGCGATCCCAACGCGATCTTCTCTGGACGCCAACCGCCGCCACCGCCGCCCGTCCTCGTCCATGATGAACCCGAGTACGAGGTCGAGTCCGTGCTTGCTCACCGCCGTCGACGGAATGGCACCGTGGAGCTTCTCATCCGTTGGGAGGGTTATGATCCTTCCGAGGACAGCTGGGTCTCTGCATCCGAGATGGACCACGCTCGTCGTCCTCTTCGCGACTACCTTGTAAAGCAGGGTGTTACGTCGACCACCCAGCTTTTAGGGGGGGAAGTGTGAGAGTACGACCCCGTTCCATTCTCTTCCCTTTCCATTTCATTCCTCTTTTTATCTCATTCCATTTGGGTTCATATTTCTCCTTTTCCATTATCCTTTGGTTTATCCGGTTATTTTCATTATATCACCGACCAAGCTCGGGATGTACTCATGCGCTCTATCTAGCGTAATCCCTTAAGCCAATAGCCTTGCGTGGCTATACGCAGGGTGATTCTATTTTCTAGAAGGGTCTATTCCCTTGGGATAAGATAAACCTGGTTACCTGATGTACTTTGGAAGTATAAAAGCGCCTTGTACTGATCGATAGGGCAACCTTTCCTCGACACATTCGATCCTATGACATGGGCGGCCTCAATGACGACAGTGGCGGAGCTCGTGCTCAAGGCGGCTATATCGAGGAGGACAGGCGGCGACTGCGGCGGCTGAGGGCTCTCGGCGGTGTGGCACGGCTGGCGACAACCGAGCCGAAGACAGCAGCTGCGGCAGGAGGAAGTGGAGATGCAAGGAGAAGGGGTGGGGCGGGGAGGAGGGGCGAATGGCGACGTGTGGGCGGCGGCAGCGTCACTGGCGTCGCACGGTCGGCTGCAGCCCAACGGCGCCGTCCAAGAGCAGCATCGACGCTGCAGCGGGACGTCGACGCCGCGACGTCAGCACGACGGCGCCGTCACGCCGCCACGGCCTGACGTTGACGGGGTCGCCACGGTTGTGTGCTGCGACGGCCGCACCAGGTGATGCGCGACGGCAACAGGCCGACGACACAGCCGCGGCACCACGATGACGCCAACACAGCGTGGCGTCGATGCCGCAGCTGCTCGTCGATGCTGGGACGACACCACACAAAGGCCGCCGCGGCATCTTGGAAAAGATGCCACAGCGGTAGGCAGCAGGAAGGCCGCGACGACGGCAAACAGGGAAGTACACAGCGGAAGCGTAATGAGCAGGCCCGGGACGGGCGGCCTGCTCTGTTACCATGTCGTGAAGGTAGGATAGCTAGGCCGCCATGACTATGGCGGCGAGGTTCAGCTAGGAGGTAGACGAGAATATCGAGAGAGAAGGCTGTTTGAACTAGAAGAGAATCAGGTACAAGAAGGGGAGTTATCCTCTTTGCAGTAGGATGCAGTAGCACAACTATCAAGCCTACAATTATATAAAATATAATTTGAACACTCAGAGTCGACATTCTTAACCCTGAGTATTTCCGACTCGTTGACTCTTGGCCACTGAGATTTCAGAGTAGCGAAATTTTGAAAAATTGCCCTTCAGACTCAGGAATTTTTTTGGGGGGCAAAATTAGAGTTTTTTTTTTTTTTTTTTTTTTTAGTCATCTTTGGTGTCCGATCCGAAGTAGGGCGTAAGGTTTCGGGACGTCACGGAACCAGGAGATCATTATATCCAACCGTTAAAAAAACTTAGCTACCGTACTGTGCCTTCTCGTGCCTTTGGGTACATTCAGAGCTCGTGGCATCCCAACTTCGGGTCATCATTTGCCAGCATTTCTAAACTTCAGGTCCTCCGAAATGGGGCAAATGATGACCGGAAGTCCGGATGACACGAGCCCCAAATGTACCCTTATGAACACGGAAATGCTCTTTGCTGACCCAGAAACTGTCACAGTGGGACTGTTGCTACCGTATTTTGGGACTTCTGCCGCCTAGCCTTCAACCAAATCAGGGGTTTGGGGGGGGGGGGAGGGAGAGGAGGAGAGAAGGCAAGTGGAGGAGAGTTTACCAAACCAGATTTGTACGCGTAGGAGAGTTGACACTGTATCACCATTGCTACTACACTGCATAGCTCACAATATTGCCAAGATGGTGAGGTGCAATCATCAAAGGCATTGTGGTTCTACCCAAATGCATTAGTGTAGAAGTGTACATGAAGGGCACCTACGTGGCCTTATCGAGTACAATTGGGTTCTCCCATAACAACCCCGCTAGAAGACCACGGAATGCAAAGCCTGCTGTTTCTCGACAAACTAAATGCTTCTATCTAAGCATTCATCATAATCCTTCAGGGTTTGGGACGGGAAACTCAAATCCAGAGAAGAAGAGCCACGCAACATAAATCACAACTAGCACGAGTCACGCGATCCAGCCAAAATTAGACCAATTCGCACGATCCAGACATTTAGTACGAGTCGCGCGATCATGAGTCTCCAGCTCGTGCAGAATTACGACTCCGACGAAGACGAGGAACGTTTTAAGCGCGCCGCGTTCGCACACGACGGCGACTTGTCGAATTCTTCGGCAAGCGACGCGGAAGTTTCGGACGATTACGACGAGGCTTCGGAGAAAGCAGCAGAGCCGGAAAAAGGGGAAGATATCGAGGGTAATGGCGGGAAGGAAAGGGCGAGAGGAGCGCTGACGGCCGGTAGGAGTGACGCTGGAGCGTTGACGGCCGGTAGGATTGGCGGAGTGAGACGGACGGCTGCCGGATTCCTGCCGGAGAAAGGCCCCTCGGGGTTGCCGTCCGCTGCAGCAGCTTTCGAAGCGGTGAGATGCGGTGACTGGCGTCAGGCTGGGGAGGGGAGAGAGCGGAGGGGGGAGGGGGGTGGGAGATAGCGAGTGCGTGAGAGGAATGGGCCCCTCGGGATTGCCGTCCGCGGCTGCAGCGTTCGAAGCGGCGAGTGGGGGACCCGGGGAATATTGCGCTAAGCTTTTGCTGCGCGGGAGGGTAACGGGGCGCGAAGAAAAGGGTTGACGAGGGGTTGAGAAGCGAGTGGGGAGGGGGTGGAGAGGGGATGGGGAGGGGATGGGGAGGGGATGGGGAGGGGGTTGAGTAGTAGGGGGGGGAGGGCTAGGGGGGAAGGGTAACGGGGGAGAAAGGGGTTGGGGAGGGATTGGGAAGCGGTTGGAGACGGGGGAGATGGGGTTGAGGAGGGGTATGGGAGTAGCGGTGGTGAGTGAGTGAGTGGCGCACTCACGCTCGGCCACGCACTGACAAGCAGGCGGCGATGCCCCACTGACAAGCAGGTGTGTAATGAGGCTATTTTTGAGTCGACTAAAAAAAAAAGACTCATGTGTATATTTTGAGTCGACTCAAAAATAGACTCATTACACACTCACTCTCGACCACGCACCGACAAGCAGGCGGCGATGCCCTTTCCTCCCTGCCCGCCCATTGTCTATCGGTAATCTGTCTGCGTCTTTCTCTCTCGCAGGTAGAGGGTCCACCCTCCTTCCTGGTGCCAACAGCCCCCTGGCCCACCACATGCACCTACCACCCAGCCCCACTCCACTCCCCCCCCCCCTCCCCTCTTCATATGAACTCTCCCTCGCAGGTAGAAGGTCCGCCATCCTTCCTCGTCCCGACAGCCCTGGCCCACCACATGCACGTACCCCTCTTCAACCCCCACTCCATCCCCCCCCAACCCCCCCCCCCCCTCTTCATATGAACTCTCCCTCGCAACCATCCTTCCTCGCGCCAACAGCCCTGGCGCACCACATGCACGTACCACATGCACGTACCACATGCACGTACCACATGCACGTACCACATGCACGTACCACATGCACGTACCACATGCACGTACCACATGCACGTACCACATGCACGTACCACATGCACGTACCACATGCAGACACGTACCACATGCACGTACCACATGCACGTACCACATGCACGTACCACATGCACGTACCACATGCACGTACCACATGCACGTACCACGACCATGCACGTACCACATGCACGTACCACATGCACGTACCACATGCACGTACCACATGCACGTACCACATGCACGTACCACATGCACGTACCACATGCACGTACCACATGCACGTACCACATGCACGTACCACATGCACGTACCACATGCACGTACCACATGCACGTACCACATGCACGTACCACATGCACGTACCACATGCACGTACCACATGCACGTACCACATGCACGTACCACATGCACGTACCACATGCACGTACCACATGCACGTACCACATGCACGTACCACATGCACGTACCACATGCACGTACCACATGCACGTACCACATGCACGTACCACATGCACGTACCACATGCACGTACCACATGCACGTACCACATGCACGTACCACATGCACGTACCACATGCACGTACCACATGCACGTACCACATGCACGTACCACATGCACGTACCACATGCACGTACCACATGCACGTACCACATGCACGTACCACATGCACGTACCACATGCACGTACCACATGCACGTACCACATGCACGTACCACATGCACGTACCACATGCACGTACCACATGCACGTACCACATGCACGTACCACATGCACGTACCACATGCCACGTACCACATGCACGTACCACATGCACGTACCACCCACCATGCACGTACCACATGCACGTACCACATGCACGTACCACATGCACGTACCACATGCACGTACCACATGCACGTACCACATGCACGTACCACATGCACGTACCACATGCACGTACCACATGCACGTACCACATGCACGTACCACATGCACGTACCACATGCACGTACCACATGCTGAGAACGTCGTTGGGATACCTCTCCTCCCCCCCCTCCCATCCCATCTATACACAATCTGTGTCCTTTGATCTCCCAGGTAGAGGGACCACCGTCCTTCCTTGCGCCAACAGCATTAGCCCACCACATGCACATACCACGCGCTGACAAGCTCGTCGCCATGGGCTCGGCCAATGAGGACATGCCACGTGGCATTGTGTCTGTGGCTGGGGCGGCTGCGGCTGCTCCTGCGGCTGTTGTGTTCAGAGAGAGGCGGGCAGGAGGCGTCGGTGGTGGGGGTGAGTTTATAGAGTATTTTTAAACCCTAATCCTAATCCTCTGACTGTAACTTTAGCCCCTAGACTACCTGCTGCTGTTGTGTACCTCTTTAGTGTGGCTGCTGCAGTTGTGTTGAGAGAGATACGGGCAGGAGGCGTCGGTGGTGTGGGTGAGTGATTGGGGGGGCCGGGTTAGAGTTATTTCTGCTGCCACTGTTGCCTTTGCGCCTCCTGCTGCTGTTGTGCTCAGAGAGAGACAGGCAGGAGGCGTCGGTGGTGGGGGTGAGTTCATTCACAAAATCTCTTTGAACCGTACCGTAACCCTCGCAATAACCCTACAAACTCTTACATCTCTTTGTCTCATGACTTTAGTTTTGAGGCGCCTCAAAACTGGGGTGAGTTCATTCATAGAATTTTGAAATCGTGTGGTAACCCTCGCAATAACCCTACAAACTCTTACATCTCTTTGTCTCATGTTTTCCCCCTTAAAGCCCGTGAGACCGTAGCAGCGCCCTTGGGAAACCCTAACGCCATCTCTGCAGCAGCTGCTGCCGCTGCTGCGGTTCCCCTTCCACTCTTCTTTCCTCTTCTTTCCTCTCCTTTCCTGTCCCCATGTGCTTCCCCTTCAAGCCCGTGAGATGGTCGCAGCGCCCGTGAGAAACCCTAACGCCCCGTCTGCAGCAGCTGCCCCTGATACTGCTCAAAGCGGCTGATGAATGGAAAGCGCTTTTCCATTCCTCCATTCCTCCGTCTATCATGCGTCCATTCGTCTATCTATCAGTCGCCTGACTTAGCCCTTCTTCCCATCCCACCATTTCCCCCTTTCAGCCCGTGAGATCGTCGCAGCACCCGTGAGAAACCCAAACGCCGCTTCTCCTGCTGCTGCCCCTGCTGCTGCCCCTGCTGCGGTTTCCATTCCATTCTGCTTTCCTCTTCTTTCCTGTCCCCATGTGCCTCCCTTGCAGCCCGTGAGATCGTAGCAGGGCCCGTGAGAAACCCAAACGCCCCTGCTGCAGCAGTAGCTGCCCCTGCTGCGGTTTCCCTTCCATTCTCCTTTCCTCTCCTTTCCTGTCCCCATGCGCTTCCCCTTTCAGCCCGTGAGATCGTCGCAGCGCCCGTGAGAAATCCAAACGCCACTTCCCCTGCTGCTGCTGCAGAGGAGGAGGGGAGTACTCAGGCATCCGAGGGAGCTAACGCGGCAAATGGGAATGCGCCAGGTGGCAGGAAGGCAGTGGGCGTGTCCATGCCACCTAAAGCCGATGCGGCTGATTTGCTCAGGTGGGTTCTTTTTCGGGGATGGGGGAGGTGGAGAGGGGGGGAAAGGGTAGTTCTTCAGAAACGAAGGTGGAAAGGTGGGTCAAATGTGACTGATGCAACTTTTTTTGGGGGGGGGGGGGGGGGGAGAGTGGGAGAATGAGTAGTTCTTCAGAAACGAAGGTGGTCGAGTGTGAATGATGCAACCTTTGGGGGGGAGATGGGTATTACTGGTGCTGGGGGCCCAGATGCGACTGATCCACCTTCCCCTGCCATGGCAAGGCATTTTGGCGTGTCCATGCCACCTGAAGCCGATGCGGCTGATAAGCTGAGGTGGATTGTATTTGGGGGGGGGGGGGGGGGGGGGGGTGGTGTTTTGGGGAAGCGGAACTGAGTAGTTTTGGAAGAGGAGGTGGCCAGTTGTGGGCTTTGGGGCAAGGTGCGAATGATCCATTCTTATTCTCCCCCGGTATTGGTTGCAGGATCTGCCCTACCTGCCAAGTGCCCAAAACGTTTTCTTCGGGGCAGGGCGTGGTCTGCCCAATTTGCCGCGATAAGCCAGCAGGAGGCGCTGATGTGGAAGTGGGCAGAGAGAAAGCGAAGAAACGGGAAGGGGATAGTAAGGTGAAGGATAAGGAGAAAATCAAGCGAATGAAGGGCCAATCATCGCACGCCACGTGGAAGAGTGAGACAGAGATGCAGTTGAGGCAGACGTATGACTGACGGAGTACGACAGTATGTGTGGAAGGAAAATCTGTGGAACACTCATGCTAACCAGCTCTGCAACTCAATGTGGTTCGTTTTGTATGAGTTGAACCAGGCATCACCTGATTTGTGCATTCTTAGTGCTTCGCTGCTGCTTGATTTGTTGTGTAGAAGTTATCAGGTCAAACTGGAAATCTCAACCTGTTGTGTACATTGTGGGTGGAGAATATACATATATATATATATTGTGTACGCTTGATTGTTTGTTAGTAAAACTACTAATGCACTTCGTTTATCCATATTGAGGAAAATAAACGAGGAATGAATGAAATTACAGCAGTTTGCATCCAACTATCAGGTATTATCCCCATTCTGTATAACGTCGGTGTGGTAGTTGCTAAGGACTACATTATGACTGAATTAAGCAAATTGCATAACGAAAGCCTAGGTGTCGCTGAGTTGCCAAGTCGCCCCTACGTACCGCCCCCCCGTTTGTGTCGTCCTTTTCGATAAAACGTGTTGCGACGCACTATCGTCAAGCTCACAAAGTCACAGGCGCAACCGGAGCTGACATGGTGCCCTCACATTGGTTGCTGTATTTGAACGCGTCGTCTGAGTCGTACAGACACATTCGCAACAGCTGCCTCTCGCGAAGTGTCATCAACCCTTGACCATGCTCGGCTTGTGCCATCCATCCGAATTCGCTAAACCCATCGCAGCATATGCCCTGCGACCGAGACGCAATAACCCTGGGTCGCATGGTCGAGCACGCGAACATCTCCACCGTATCATGCGGCGTCAAGAGCTTTCTCCGATTGGTCAGTCACTCCCCCTGGCGCGTCCGATCTGTCTCGTCACTTGTTCGCGCCCCGTCTATTCCGAGTCGCATGTTTGAACTCTCCATTCGAACTGTGATTCAATCTGCTCTCACTTCCTCGCCCCACCCACCCCTAGAGCTGGAGTCGGGGAGGGACTCGGGAAGTCGCCCCTCGTGCAGCTCTGACCTCTCCGGCAATCCCAAGGCTGCAGCCACCCTTGTCGCCCCAACCTCCTCCCAGTTCCCCGCTTCCGCCTCCTCTTATATTGGGACTGGAAACCACAATTCACTCAGCGAGGCAGCCAAAAGCTGCTATCTGCCTGTGAAGCCGACTGAGAGTCGACATTTCGAATTTAGCTTGGACAGATTCAATTTCCCTAGACAGGAAGTGCTATTTCCGTGTTGGAGTCGTAGACAGGAGGTGCCAGGTCCGTCCGTGAGCTGGGGGGCCACTATGGAGCACAACACCGGCCTCGTGGCGGGCAGCCACAACCGCAACCACCTAGTCGTGATCCGCAAGGACTCTCAAGTGGTAAACACCCGCCCCCTCTCGCTAAACAATCTGCTCTCAACAGACCTTTCCACGGATTCAAGACAATTGCTGCCTGCTCTGCGTGAGCCCAACCGCGTTCTGAGCTAGCGCACCTGAGCCTTCCTCTGCTCCTCGGGTTTCCAGCCAGCGACTCACTCCACTAGGTCGTCTCTTTTTCCCACCCTCGCCGACTCAGTTTAAACTCTTTGCTGCATCTCCCCCTTTCTCTCCGCAGTCGCACAACCCGACGTTCAATCCGATCGTCTGCCAGATCTGCGGCGACGACGTGGGGCAATTTGTGGAGGGCGGGATTTTCGTCGCATGCCACGAGTGCGCGTATCCCGTGTGCCGCCCCTGCTACGAGTACGAGCGCAAGGAGGGCAGCCGCGCGTGCCCGCAGTGCAAGACGTTTTACAAGCGTTATAAGGGTACGGCATGACTCAATGCGGCATGACTGTAACGCGTACCCCGTGTGTCGCCCCTGTTACGAGTACGAGCGCAAGGAGGGCAGCCGCTTTGCCTCCTTCCAAACTTCCGTTCTTACCGTGTTTTGTCCTTTGTTCGCACAGGGAGCCCGCGCATCGACGATGACGACGAAGATGAGGACGACGACGAAAGGAGCGAGCGTAGAGGCGACAGGGGCGGAGCATCGCTGGACGTGCCTTCAACGTCGTACGCGTCGTACGCGTCGCACAACGCGCAGTCGTCGTCGCAGTACCCGATGCTGACTTCCACTCAGGTCAACCCCGATCCGTCTGCTGCGACGGAGTACAACCCGGGTGCGATGGTGCCGGCCGGTACGATTCCTCCGCCCCCGGAGTACAACCAGTACGAGCGTACGCCCAGCCGTACGCCGAGCCAGACGCCCAGCACCAACGACATGGCCAGTAAGTTGAAACCGAACGGTCGATATTATTAAAACAGCAAGAGTATCAAAACAGGCATTGGAGCCTGCTCAAAAGAACGGGAATCCAAGAAAGCATATGCACTCCCACTATGGAATAGATTGTGCCTGCTGCTTTTGACTAATGATTTACCTCTAGGGTTTCGGAGAAATTATATACGCTTCCACTAAATCATTATCTTCTCTTTCGCTCCTGCCTGCAGTGGAGCTGCGTGCCCCCAGCTACGGCTACGGCAGCGTCGTCTGGAAGGATCGCGTGGAGTCGTGGAAGCAGCAGCAGGGTCGCATGGCGGTCAGCGACGGCGGCGGCGGCGGCGGCGACGCTCCCCCAGGCACCACCGACGAAGGCGATCTCCCGTCGATGGACGAATCCCGTCAGCCTCTGTCGCGCAAGGTTCATTATCCGTCAGCTCTCATCAGTCCGTACCGTCTGGTTATCGTGATTCGGCTCGCGGTGCTCGTTTTCTTCCTTCGCTGGCGGTGCCTGAACCCCGTCGACGGCGCGTGGTGGCTGTGGCTTATTTCGGTTATTTGCGAAGTCTGGTTCGCGTTTTCGTGGATTCTCGATCAGTTCCCCAAGTGGATGCCGATTAAGCGAGAGACCTATCTCGACCGTCTGTCGCTCCGTTTTGACCGGAAGGGCGAGCCTTCGCAGCTGTCATCCGTCGATCTTTTCGTATCGACGGTGGATCCGCAGAAGGAGCCCCCGCTCACCACGGCCAACACGATTCTCTCGATCCTGTCCCTTGATTATCCCGTCGAAAAAGTTTCGGCATACGTGCACGACGATGGTGGCGCGATGCTGACCTTCGACGCGATGGGCGAAACTGCGGAATTTGCGAGGCGCTGGGTTCCTTTCGCGAAGAGGTACAACGTCGAGCCGCGGGCACCCGAAGTGTATTTCACGCAGAAAGTTGACTACCTCAAGGACAAGGTCGACCAGGATTTCGTCAAGGATCGTCGCCAAATGAAGGTGCGGCTTCGCTTTGCGAACTTCCTCCTGCTTGCTCAGCCGGCGAAAATATGAAAAGAATTGCTACACACTTGGGGTTAGCAGAGTCGTCAATTTCGCCGCTTATTTTTCGTCAATGCATTTTGCCGCCCGAATTCCGATGGGAAGGCGCATACGAATCATCCAGATTTCTGCTCACCTATTTCGCCCCTTGTCGCCTCCCGCTCCCAATTTACCCCTTCCCGCCTCTCCCGGGTATCCCCTCTTATTGTCACAGAGGGACTATGAGGAGTTTAAGATCCGCATTAACGCGCTCGTCGCGCGCTCCCTCAAGGTGCCCGACGACGGCTGGGTCATGCAGGACGGCACGCCGTGGCCAGGCAACAAATCCCGCGACCATCCAGGCATGATCCAAGTGTTTCTCGGCCCGAGCGGCGGAACTGACGTGGATGGTAGCCCGCTCCCGCGACTGGTGTACGTTTCTCGCGAAAAGCGCCCGGGTTACAACCACCACAAGAAGGCCGGTGCGATGAACGCGCTGATTCGCGTGTCCGCGATATTGTCGAACGCGCCGTACATGCTGAATCTGGATTGCGATCACTACATCAACGACAGCAAGGCTCTTAAAGAGGCGATGTGCTTTATGATGGATCCGAATGTTGGCAAGAAGACTTGCTACGTGCAATTTCCTCAGCGATTCGATGGCATTGACCCCAACGATCGTTACGCCAACCACAACACAGTCTTCTTCGATGTAAGTCAGTTTGTATCTCACATGTGCACCGTTTTTTTTCACCGAGGGCGAAAAACCCACTCACAACCACTCTTCTCACATCTACACCTCACCCTAGAAGGCCTGCATGAGCGATTCTAATTTGTGCTAAGCCTCCGATATCCTGACCCCTTCCCATCTCTCTAAACCCCTTCCCACCCTGCCAGATCAATCTGCCCGGGCTTGACGGCATCCAGGGCCCCTGCTACGTGGGTACCGGCTGCTGCTTCCGCCGCCACGCGCTGTACGGCTATGAGCCTCCCAAGAAGGAGAAGAAGTCGAAGTGCGCGCTGTGCTGCTCGTGCTTCAGCTGCTGCCTGGGCGACCGCGGGAAGGAGGGCGGGAGGAAGGGCGGAAAGAAGCTGGCGGACGGCACCCCCCTCCCCCCCGGGGCGGAGGCCTTCCTGGGTGATGACGATGGTGAGTGCTGGGATGGGTAAGAACAAATGGGACGGAGGCCCTCGGTTCTCTCTGGGCTAGTCGGACAGCAGAGGGACATCCTGGACTAGGCCTTCAGGGAGATGACGATGGGGAGTGAGGGTCTGTTAGGGTAGGTGGGTGGGTGGGTGGGCGCGTGAGTGGGTTAGGAGGGCCTCTTTGTAGGGTTTGTTGGGGCGAAGTGGGTGGGTGCGCACGCATTGTGCTGTGGGAAGTCGCCCGTCATTGCGCTCTACACATTCCACTCACCCCGCGTACTCCTCTCCTGCTTCCCTTCCTTTCTGGCCGCCTTGCAGTTGAGGGAGACAGTCTCCTCGCCCTGAAGAAGTTCGAGAAGAAGTTCGGCCAGTCGCCCGTGTTTGTGCTCTCCACGTTCCACGAGGAGGGCGGCGGCGTGGCTTCTGCCAGTCCCGGGTCCACTCTTAAGGAGGCCATCCACGTCATCTCGTGCGGCTACGAGGAGAAGACGGAGTGGGGCAAGGAGGTACGCTAAGACGGAGTCGAATCACCTCAGCTGCTCATACCTCTAATGCTATTCCCCCTTCTCCCATTCTGGCTCTTGTGCTCCCTTTTTCGCCTCCCTTCCCTTCGCTGTTCATATTCCAAGCCTAATGCCCTCATCCCCCCTTTTTACCCCGCACTATCCCTCCCCTCAGCTTGGCTGGATCTACGGATCGGTCACGGAGGATATTCTCACGGGCTTTAAGATGCACGCGCGCGGCTGGCGCTCGATCTACTGCAAGCCGAAGCGTGCCACCTTCAAGGGAGGAGCGCCTATTAATCTGTCGGATCGTCTGCAGCAGGTGCTGCGGTGGGCTCTGGGGTCAGTGGAAATCTTCCTGTCCCGCCATTGCCCGATCTGGTACGGGTGGAAGGGCAACAGGCTGAAGGTGCTTCAGAGACTCTCTTACATAAACACCGTCGTTTACCCGTTCACGTCGTTCCCCCTGCTCTGCTACTGCATGCTGCCCGGGATCTGCCTGCTGACCAACAAATTCATCATCCCGTATCTCGATACAGTTTCCACACTCTACTTCATCGCGCTGTTCCTCAGCATCTTTGCAACGGGTCTGCTTGAAATGAGGTGGTCCAAAGTCAGCATGACTGAGTGGTGGCGTAACGAGCAATTCTGGGTCATCGGAGGGGTTTCGGCACATCTTTTCGCGGTTTTCCAGGGCATGCTGAAAGTCCTAGCTGGCATCGACACCAACTTCACGGTGACAGCTAAGCAGGCCGAGGATGGCGAATTTGCTGAGCTGTACCTTTTCAAGTGGACGTCGCTGCTCATCCCGCCTCTTTTCCTGATGATTTTCAACATCCTCGGGATTGTCGCGGGCGTCGCAGTCGCGATGAACTCGGGAACCGCGGAGTGGGGAGATCTCTTCGGAAAACTTTTCTTTGCCTTCTGGGTTATTGTGCATCTTTACCCTTTCATGAAGGGTCTCGGTGGCCGTAACGCCAAGATCCCCACGATCGTGATCGTGTGGTCGGTGCTGCTCGCGTCGATCTTCTCGCTCCTCTGGGTCAAGATCAGCCCTTTCGCCGCTAAGAGCGAAGGACCCTCTCTGGCGGCGTGTGGTATTTCCTGCTAAGTGTTTGGCCCAACCACCCGCTATTGGGGTATGTAGTGGCGTTTCGCGCTAAGCGGTTTGCCTGCCTGTGAGTGTTAGACTCGACCCCCTGCAGTTGAGGTAGAGAGTCAGGCCTACAGTAGTAGGTGCTCAGAAGCTATCGTTTGGTTAGAGAGGCTTGGTTGTAGACCCGGGAATGCTGGTTTGAGGGATGGTAGTTAGGCCTAGAGGAGCGATGACTACCGCATATGTTCTGTTTGCTTTTGTTTCTCATAATAATTGCTCTTTTGCTTTGTACTTATATTCTTCAGCAAAACGTTGGTCATTATCACTAAGTTGAATCTCATGTGATTGTTAGGCTTGGTGAGGAGGCTGTTATGGCTCTGATACTAGCTCCCAATATCCATTTCCCCATGGTATCCCTCAGTTATCCCTTCAGTATCCTGATACTGTACCACAGGGACCTTGTGAAATAGCTCACAAAAGGTTCCTCCTTACCATAATAATATATAAGAGCAAGCTGCATCAATTTCCAAACAGCACAGCAGATCCCTGATTAAAAGAGGTCCTGTCTGAATTCCTGCCAAAACAATCCAGGCCAGTAACAAGTAACAAAGCAAGCACAGTTCTAGCTTAGGCTCACATAGCCGCATACATGTTGCCAAATTTTTCCAAACAGCTTGACTTGGTTTCAAACGGTTTCTCACAACCCACCCCTTGGCATGACACACACACACACCATGGTTACCAGCACTGAGTTACAAGGAATGCAGTTACTCGCACTGCAGTTACCAGCACTGCAGTTACCAGCACTGCAGTTACCATGCATCACACACAGCCAACCTCTTCTCCTGCTTCTTCCTCTTCCTGCCAACCATGCATCACTCCTACTCCGCATTGCTTCAGCATCCTTCTCTTCCTGCCGTCCCCTTACTCCTGCTCCCCTCTGCTTTTCCTCTGCTTCTTTCTCTTCTTCCCCTCCTCCTGCTCCCCCCCCTGCTTCTCGTTCTTCTGCCTCTTTATCCTCTTCTCCTGCTGCTCCTCTTGCTCCTCCTGCTTCTCTTTCCTCTCCTGCTTGCCGCCTGCTCCACTAAGCCCTTGCCCCTCCTCCTGCCCCCCCCCTGCTTCTCTTTCTTCTGCTTCTTTATCCTCTTCCCCTGCCCCTCCTGCTCCTCCTGCTTCCCCCCCTGCTTCTCTTTCTTCCCCTGCTTGCTACCTGCTTCCCCCAGCTGCTTCCTCTTACCCCTCCCACCCTTCCTACCCTTTCCCCCTCTCTTCCCTCCACCCCCACCCACTCCCTCCCCTCCCTCCTCCCCATCTCCTCCCTCCTCCCCATCACCTCCCTCCTCCCCTCCCTCCTCCCCTCCCTCCTCTCCTCCCTCCTCCCCTCCCTCCTCACCCCCCTTCCTCTTCGCCCCTCTCAACCGCCCGAGTACCACACTCACTCCCTCCCTCAGACTCCCAGCCCTCCCCTCCCTCACCACCTCTACAGCCTGCACCAGCCGCTGCAGCTGAGTAATCAGCTGCCCCGTCCTCCCCTTCCCTCGCACCTTCTGTCCCGAAGCCGGGTCAGCAGTTGCTGCTTTCAGTGCATCCAAGTCTAGAGCCGGCAGAAGCAAACCCTTCTTCTCATTTCCCTTCTCCTCATTTTCATTTTCATTTTCATTTTCGTTCCCCTTGGGATTGGATCCGTCTGCAACCTGGCGGGTATTTCCGCCCGACTTGCGAAGGGTTTCCTCTGCATGCCCTATGGCACGCAGCAGAGCGCAGCAGAACTCCATACCTAACTCCCACCGCTCCAATTTCCCATACCTATGCCTGATTGCTCCAATCAACAATTCCCCCACCACCCCCTTTTCCACCTGCCCGGACAGCGCCTCAGCGGCCCCCTCGGGCAGCGGAAAACGGTTTAAAAACGGCGAGACAAGTTTCATCGCAGCTGCCCGGACGTACTCCGACCTGCCCTTGCCACACTTCTTGAAGAAGTATGGAATCAGGGCAGAAAAAATCCCCGGGAAGCGGGTGAGAGTGTCGCGGATAAAAGTGATTGGAAGGGGGCAGTCGCGGGAGTCGAGGACGCGAGAAATGGCCGAAGAAAAGGCATCTATTACTGCCAGGTCAATGGCTGCCGCCTTGAAAGCATTGGCCTGTCTTCCTGGCTTTGGAAGGTTTGAATTCCCGTCCCCGTGCTGAAACTTGGATTTTTCTTCCCGCTGCAGTTTAGCTGCTTCCCGCTGGGACTTAGCTAAGAGCCGCGCCTGGATGACGTGGACGAGCCACATGGCGCAGTCTCCCGCGACGAGCGCCAGGTGGCGGATGGAGGTTCGCCGCGTGGCTTCCGCAAAGCATTCCTGCATTGCTGCCCGGGCCGCAAGGAGGATTGTTTCGTCCTCGTGATCCTGCTGCCGCTCCTGCTGCCTCTCCCTTGCTCCCCTCCTCATCTCCTCCTCTTCCTCCTCTTCCACCTCCTCCTCTTTCTTCTTCTCACCACCAGCACCAGCACCAGCAGCAGCAGCACCCCCCTTCCCTACTTCCCCCTTCTCTCCTCCCCCCTTCCCTCCCACCCCCACAACCACCACCGCACCCACAACCCTCCTCTCCAGCAACCTTTCAACTCTCACCAGCACCGCATCGTGCCCCGTGCCCCCTCCGCCCCGGCCCCCTCCACCCCCCTTCCCGCCCTTCAGACTCCCCCGCGTGGCGTAATTCCCTGCTGCTGCTTTCAGCAGCCGCGGCACCACGGCAAACACCAGCGGGTCGCACGAGACAGGCAGTCGGTCCGAGGAACCTGGAGCGAGCAGAGAGAGGGGGGGGAGGTGAGGGGGGGGAGGGGGGAAACAGGGTGAGAATAAGAGAGAGCAGCTGATGCGCCATGGCAAACACCAGCGCGTCGCACGAGATAGGGACTCGGTCCGCGGAGAGATGGGAGGAACCTGGAGGGAGGGGAGAGATGAGGGGGGAGAGAAGGTGAGAGAATAAGAGAGAGCAGCCGCGGCACCACTTGAAACACCAGAGGGGCTCGATCCGAGGAGAAAGGCGATGCTCCTGCAGTATGGAGCCACTAGTCGAGGAGTGTGAAAGTGCTCACAAGTGCTCACAACTGCTCACACGCGCAGGCGGAAGTGCTTCCCTAGGAGACTGGACTGGTCGGTTCAGAAGAGATAGAACACAGAACAAGAGTCCAGGCCACAGAGAACGCACCTGCCGCTTGGAGCCACGAGTCCAGGAGGGCGAGGGCGCGCAGGCGGAAGTGCTCTCCGAGAAGGATGCTCTGGCGGCGCTTGCGGCGGGTCTCCGCCTCCACCTTCTGCCGAACGATGTCGGCCAGATGCTGGTCGATGCGGAACATGGCATCGTCGTCCATCAGCTCTTCGTCGCTGCTGTCGCTTCCCTCCAGGTTCTTAGCACCATTTGCACTTCCCTCCTCCTCCTCCCCCTCCTCCTCCTCTTCCTCCTCTTCGTCCTCCTCTGCACTGTCTCCTTCGTCGCTCCCCCCTTCCTGCTCCTCCTCCTCCGATCCCTCCTCTCCATCTTCCTCCCCCTCCTCTTCCTCTTCCTCCTCCTCCTCATCTTCTTCCTCCTCTTCCTCCTCTTCCTCCTCCAGCACCTCCTCCCTCTTCTTGCTCCTCGGATTCGTTACAATCACCTGCATTATAATCTCCAGCGCCTCGGCAGTCAGATCGTTACAGAAGGCGCTGAAAACGCCCTCCGCCGCCCCTCTAAGCAGCGAGGATTCTTGAGCCAACAGCGATAGCACCACGTCAACCAGTGAAATCATTATGTCCTTCTCCTCCTCCTCTTCCTCTTCCTCCTCACTCCCCTCCTCCCTCTCCTCCTCGCTCTCCTCCTCACCATTCACCACCCTCTTTCCTCCTCTCCCCTTCACACTCCCATTCGCCCTCGTCTCGCCACCCACCTTCGCCCCCTTCTCGATCACCCAACCAGAGGCCGCCAGCTGGCGCGCGATGGCAGTGACGTCAGCAGCAGCCTCAAGCAGCACATCCACGTCACCACCCCCAGCTACAGTACCCCCAGCACCAGCAGCAGCACCAGCAGTAGTACCCCCCTCCTCATCCTCCTCATCCTCATCCCCACCTCCTTCCTTCTCGTCCTTGCCTCCCTTCTTCACCCCACCATCTGCAACAGCTCCGGCAACAGCCTCGGCAGCAGCTTCGGCAGCAGCTTCGGCGGAGGTTTGGATGCGAAGGCAGAGCAGGAGCGTCCCCAGGAGGGAACCCACAGCCCTTCTGCGGTCGTCCAGCCGGTTCAACAGAGGCACATTGCCCTTCAGACCGCCAACACTTGCAGCTGAGAGCCGTGTGACGGCGGAACTAGTAGCAGCCAGCTTAAGTGTGGCTTTAAGATCCCCAATAACTGCTTCCACATCTCTTCCCTCTCCCTCCCCCTCCCCCTCCTCCTCTTTGCTCTCCTGCTTCCCCCCACTCATGCCTCTCCCCTCTGCAAACCCTTCAGCTTCTGTCACTAGAAAACCCACCACCCACAGCCCAGCCTCCTTTACACTCACACTCACACTCCCTACAGGAACAAACCTACTACCATCCCCCCCTTCCTTCCCCTCTTTCCCCTTCCTTCCCTCCTTTGACTCCCCCTCCTCCTTCGCTTCTCTCCCCGCCGCTAACGTCTTCTCCACCTCTCTCCCCTCAGGGCTCTTAACGAAGTACTCCAGGTGCTTCAGAAGCGCTTCTAACGAGGATAAGAACCGGGACCGGCACGCAGAGAGAACCCGGGGGGACACAGCAGGAGAGAAAGACAAAGGATGAGCCCTAAACCCTGAACCCTCTGACGCTTGCCCCTCCTGCCCCTCCTTCCTCTCCTTGCCCCTCTTCTTCCCTTTCTTTCCCATTTCGGGAGTCTCCTCCCCAGTTTTGCCCCCTCCTGCCAAACTCCCACCACTCGCACCCTTTTCACCCTGAATAACACCTCCCCCAAGTGCAGCCTGCTTTATAAACCCTAGAATCTCCTTCCTTAGAGTCACATACTCCCACACTCCCTTAACCGCCTCCTCTGCCTCCCTCCTCCTCTCCTCCTCCCCAACTCCCACTCCCACCGCTCCCTCCCCTTCCCCCCCTTTCCCAATTTGCACCTCCCCACCCCCCTCCTTAACCCCCCCTGCCGCAGCTACTTCTGCAGGCGTTTTACCAGCAGCAGCAGCAGCAGCAGCAGCAGCAGCAGCAGCAGCAGCTTTAGCAGCTTTCGGGGCGGTGGCACTTTTCCTCTTCTTGAGGCTCAGGAGCACCGGTTTCGGAACGGGCTTAGCAGCCAGCTTACACAACTGGTCTAAAGCCCAGAACCTCCATCTCTCCGCCTCCGCCTCTGCATCCCACGCCCTCTCCCCTGCTCCTCCTCCTCCGTCTCCTCCTCCAGTTCCTTCGCCACTCCCACCCCCTCCTCCTCTACCCCCCTTACCCCTCTTCCCTCCCCTCCCTCCTCTCCCTCCTCTCCCTTCTCCCCCTCCCTCCGCCCCTATCTCCTCTCCCTCTCCCGTGAACTCAAGCGGCCGGGCAAACACAGCCTGCAAAAAATCAGAGTAAGCTCTCTCCCCCTCTGCTCCCTCAATCCCCGAAGCCAGCACTCGCACCGCGTTGGTCCGCGTTGCAATGTCGAATTGCCCCCGGGAGTGCCTCTGCAGGGTGATTAGAATGGCTAGCCTAGCTGCCGTTGATTCGAGTGCTGCTGCTGCTGCTGCTGCTGCTGCTGTTCCCTTGGATGCCATTTCTTTACTGGCTGTGCCCTTTCCAGAAATAGCATAGGGATTCTTCTCCCTTTTCCCTTCATTAGCATCTCCCTCCTCCTCCCCCTCCTCTCCCTCCTCCCCTCCCCCCCCATCCACCAGCGTGGGCCATCGCTGAATCAGCGTGACGCAACGCTGACTCAGCGCAAACAGGTGCGCCCTCTTCCCCGCCCCTAGCGCGTCCACCAGGCAGCGCGTGATTGGCCGAGAGAGGATGATGTGGGCGGTGGTGGTGGGGGGGAGGCGCGGAATAAGAAGCAGCAGGAGATTAAGAGCCAAATACCTCCGCTCGTGCGAGGTGGGGATTAAACCCCTGTCGACTATTATAGACCAAAAGGTCGAGAGAGGGGAGGAGGGGAGGAGGGAGGAGGGGAAAGCAGGAAGTGGGAGAGAGGAGGAGGAGAGAGGGGAGGAGGAGGGGAGGGGGAGTGAGAAGAGGCGGTCCAGCAGCAGAGCCCAAACCGCATGCAGGCGCGGGTGGGACGAAGAACTATGCTGCAGCACGGGCAGCAGATTTTCCAGATGGGCAGCAGCGAAAAAATCTTCTGACCGGCCGGACTCGGGCAGCAGTGGGCAGAGCGCCAGCAGAGTGCCCACAAAAGTTTCACCGCTGCCCGTTTCCTCTCCTGCTCCACTGGCAATCTTCTGTACCTTAGCTCCCTTTCTCAAAGATTTCTTTCCTGCTCCCCTTTCTCCTACCTCCCCTCCTTCCTCCCCTTCTTTCTCTCCTTCCTTTCCTCCTTCCTTCCCTCCTCCCTCCTCTCCTCCCTCCCCCAGCTGCCACAGCTTGAGGGCTAAGAGAAGGGCGTGCGGCCGAGCCTCGGAGCAGGGTGGGGCGAGGAGCGAGGAAACCGCAGGCAGGGCGAGGATGCGGGGGAGGGAGGAGGAGGGCAGCTGCACAAGGGGTAGGGATTGGGATAGGGAAGAGGGGGGGAGGGGGGGGGAAGGGAGGACGCAGCTTGAGGGCTACAAGAAGGGCGTGCAGACGAGCCTCGGAGGGTTTTTGAGGCGCCTACAAATTCGGACGAGCCTCGCAGGGGGGTTGAGAGATAAGGGAGGAAACCGCTGGCAGGGCGAGGATGCGGGGGAGGGAGGGGAAGGGCAGGGAGGGAGGGAGGGGGAATTTGAGTCGACTCAAAATACACCTGCAGGAGGGAAGGATGAGGGCAGAGCACAAGGGGGTATGGGCAGACAAGCAGGGAGGGAGGGGAGGGAGGGGAGGGAGGGGAGGGAGGGGAGGGAGGGGAGGGAGGGGAGGGAGGGGAGGGAGGGGAGGGAGGGGAGGGAGGGAGAGGGAGGGGAGGGAGGGGAGGGAGGGGAGGGAGGGAGAGGGAGGGGAGGGAGGGGAGGGAGGGGAGGGAGGGGAGGGAGGGAGAGGGAGGGGAGGGAGGGGAGGGAGGGGAGGGAGGGGAGGGAGGGAGAGGGAGGGGAGGGAGGGGAGGGAGGGAGAGGGAGGGGAGGGAGGGGAGGGAGGGGAGGGAGGGGAGGGAGGGGAGGGAGGGGAGGGAGGGGAGGGAGGGGAGGGAGGGGAGGGAGGGGAGGGAGGGGAGGGAGGGGAGGGAGGGAGAGGGAGGGGAGGGAGGGGAGGGAGGGGAGGGAGGGGAGGGAGGGGAGGGAGGGAGAGGGAGGGGCGCAAGCTTGAGCGCCCAGCCTACCCTCCCCCCTCCTTCTTGCAACCCCTGTAAGAAAGCACTCTCACCCAGTAACCATCTGGTAACCACCTGGTAACCACCTCCCCTTCTTGCAACCCCTGTAAACAAGCACTTTCCCTTAACTATAGGAGGGTAACCAGCAGCACGGTACACAGCAACGGGGAACGTCCTTTCACAGTAGCAGGCTCAGCTATGAACGACCGTTGCTCTCTGACCCTCAGCAGCTGGGATGCCACCTCTTAATCATACGCTCTATAAGCACACACACTATACAGTCGCATGGGGATATAATCACCTGCCATAAGAGGGTCACCAGCAAAACGGTAGCAGGCTCAGCTAGAAAAGGCTGATGCGCCCAATCCTCAGCAGATCCACCCGCCCCTCCCAACCAACCAGCAAGCCCGATTCCCGTCCCCCCCCTCTCGTCCACTCACCTGAGAGACACGAGTAACCAGCAGCACGGTAGCAGGCTCAGCCAACCACCCCTCCCAACCAGCCATCTCCCCTCCCCTCCCCCCCCCTTCCCACCCCTCCCCCCCTCTCTTCTCCTCTCACCTGGGAGACAAGAGCCACCAGCAGCACGGTACAAGGCTCAGCTAGGAAGGACCGTTGCGCTCCAATCCTCAGCAGCTGAGATGCCACCTCCCCCGGTAGCCACCCGCCCCTGCCAACCAGCCACCCCGGTTCCCCTCCGCTCTCCTTCTTAAACCCTCCAGGCGCCTTCCTGGAAGCTTCTTCTTCCGTATTTTCCGTTGCATATAGGGGGGATGACAGCAGCCCGCTCCTTACGAGCGCACCGAGGGCAAACATGCGGCCGAAGAGAGCTTCGGACCCATCCTGGGGTGTTGAAAGGGGGAAAGGGGGAGGGGAAAGAAGGGGTCGAGGGAGGAGGAGAGAGGAGGAGGGCGAAGGAAATGAGCAGGCCGTGCTTTATGAGAGCACCAAGGGAAAACATGCGACCAAAGAGAGCCTCGGACCCATCCTGGGGTGTTGAAAGGGGGTAGATAGGGGAGGGGAGCAGGGGAGGAGGGGCGCATGGGACAGGAGGGGCGAGGGGAGAGGAAGAGCGCAGGGGAGAGGGGGAGCGCAGGGGCGGCAAGGGAGAGGTGAACAGTCCGCTCCTTATGAGCGCACCGAGGGCAAACATGCGGTGGGAGAACGGGGGGCAGGGAGGGGATGAGAACAGGCCGTTCCTTGTGAGGGTACTGAGGGTCGCCCCTTCAGCACACGCGGGGCGAAAAAGCTTCCGAGACGTCCTGAGGGGCAATATGGCGAAGGGAAAGGGAAAGGGAGGGGGAGAGAAGGGAGCGAGGAGGGGGTGGGAGGGAGATGGGAGCAGGCTGCTCCTTACGAGGTGCATTTTGAGTCGACTCAAAATGCACCTGGAAAAGCTTCCGAGATGTCCTGAGGGGCAATATGGCGAAGGGAAAGGGAAAAGGAGGGGGTGAGAAGGGGGCCATGAGGGGGTGGGAGGGGGATGGGAGCAGGCTGCTCCTTACGAGCACACCGAGGGCTAACATGCGACCGAAAAGAGCTCCAACGACGTCCTCCCGGGGGCAGTAGGGAGGAGATTAAAACGAGCAGGAGAGGGGAAAGGAAGGGGTGGGAGATGGGGGGGGAAGGGGTGGGAGAGGGGGGAGGAAGGGGTGGGAGAGGGGGGAGGAAGGGAGAAAGACGGGGGGGGGAGAAAGAGGAAAGAGAGGGTCAAAGGGACGTGAGAGGGTCAATGGGACGTGAGAGGTCAAAGGGACGTGAGAGGGTCAAAGGGACGTGAGAGGGTCAAAGGGACGTGAGAGGGCCAAAGGGACGTGAGAGGGCCAAAGGGACGTGAGAGGGTCAAAGGGACGTGAGAGGGCCAAAGGGACGTGAGAGGGCCAAAGGGACGTGAGAGGGTCAAAAGGACGTGAGAGGGTCAAAGGGACGTGAGAGGGCCAAAGGGACGTGAGAGGGCCAAAGGGACGTGAGAGGGCTACTGCTGACAAGAGCACGGAGCGCCAACATGCGGTCGGAAAGGAAAATCTCAGGTAAAAACGCAGAAAATATTTGGCAAACACGACATGCTCGGGACCCGTGGTCAAATTTCACCACTCGGGCGGGTGGAAAACCCAAACCCCTTCGAAAACCCCAATCCCTTGGTTGGAAGACGTAGTAGAATCTCACATCAGACCAGCAGGAATCGACCTACACTATACAATCGAATGTCAAGACTCGCCTTTCCTTGGAGTCATTCCTTATATTTATAAGAAAATGATTCTTACATCACATCACATCACATTACACCAGCTGGAGTCGGCATACACTATGCAAGTGAAAGACAAGTCTCACCTTTCCTCGGGCGTTGCTGGGCTGAGGGACGAGCGGAGGAACGGCAGCAGAGTAGAGAGAGGGCAGAGAGAGCAGGGCGCAGAGCGAGGGGGGGTTCTCTCAAAGCAAGAATCAGCTCTCACCTTTCCGCGGGCGTTGGTAGGGAGGGATGAGCAGAGGAATGGCAGCAGAGATGGTGGGCAGCAGAGGGCAGAGCAGAGATGGTGGGCAGCAGAGGGCGGAGCAGAGAGAGCAGGGTGCATAGCGAGGGGGGGAGAGAGTGCAGCGCGGGAAGTGCAGAGGGGAGTAGTGCGGAGGGGAGTAGTGCAGAGGGGAGTAGTGCGGAGGGGAGTAGTGCAGAGGGGAGTAGTGCGGAGGGGAGTAGTGCAGAGGGGAGTAGTGCGGAGGGGAGTAGTGCAGAGGGGAGTAGTGCGGAGGGGAGTAGTGCGGAGGGGAGTAGTGCGGAGGGGAGTAGTGCAGAGGGGAGTAGTGCGGAGGGGAGTAGTGCGGAGGGGAGTAGTGCGGAGGGGAGTAGTGCAGAGGGGAGTAGTGCAGAGGGGAGTAGTGCGGAGGGGAGTAGTGCGGAGGGGAGTAGTGCGGAGGGGAGTAGTGCAGAGGGGAGTAGTGCAGAGGGGAGTAGTGCGGAGGGGAGTAGTGCGGAGGGGAGTAGTGCGGAGGGGAGTAGTGCGGAGGAGAGGGTGAACAGAAACGAGGCACCTCGAAACGAGGTGACTTTTGAGTCGACTCAAAAACCACCTCGAGAGAATAGGCAGAGACGTCCGTAAGAGGGATGAGCAGGCGAACGGCAGAGAGGAGGGCGATGCCCCGCAAACAGAAGCGTGGGAAACACCCTTATATGCACACAACAGCCGAGTCTCACTTCTCCACAGGTGTTGGTAGGGAGAGGGATGAGCGGAGGGATGGCAGCAGCGATGGAGGGCAGCAGAGGGCAGAGCAGAGAGAGCAGCGTGCAGAGAGAAGGGCGCAGAGAGAAGGGCGCAGAGGGGGAAGCTCTCTAGAAGCAGAATCTGCTCTCACCTTTCCTCGGGCGTTGGTAGGGAGAGGGATGAGCAGAGGAATGGCAGCAGCGATGGAGGGCAGCAGAGGGTGCAGCGCGGGCAGTGCGCGCAGGCAGGCAGCGAGAGCGACGGAGAAACCCTGCCTTGCGCCCTGGGGGGAAGGTGAAGGGGAGAAGGGGGCGAAGGGGGAGAAGGGGGAGAAGGGGGAGAAGGAGGAGTTCGAGGACTAAGAATGAACGGCAGCCATGGCAGGGAGCAGAGCGTGCAGCCATGGCAGGGAGCAGAGCGTGCAGCGCGGGCAAGGCACGGAGACAGGAAGAGAGGGCGACGGAGAAACCCAGCCCTGCGCCCTGTTGAGTGAAAGGGTTGGGGGGGAGAGGGAAGGCCAGGGATTGAGGGACAATGGCAGCAGCGATGGTGGGGAGGAGAGGGAGCAGAGGGGGCAATGAGCCCATAAAGGGCAGCAGGGGGAGCAGAGGGGGCAATGAGCCCATAAAGGGCAGCAGGGGGAGCAGAGGGGGCAATGAGCCCATAAAGGGCAGCAGGGGGAGCAGAGGGGGCAATGAGCCCATAAAGGGCAGCAGGGGGAGCAGAGGGGGCAATGAGCCCATAAAGGGCAGCAGGGGGAGCAGAGGGGGCAATGAGCCCATAAAGGGCAGCAGGGGGAGCAGAGGGGCAATGAGCCCATAAAGGGCAGCAGGGGGAGCAGAGGGGGCAATGAGCCCATAAAGGGCAGCAGGGGTTGCAGAGGGGGCAATGAGCGGAGACAGGCAGTGAGGGCGACGGCGAGAGAAACCCTGCCTAGCACCCTGCCCGAGTGAAGGGGAGGGAGGGGAATGAGACAAGGGTTTAAGGGCGCAGCCTGCAGGGCGGGCAGCGCGCGGAGGCAGGCGGAGAGGGTGACAGAGAAACGCTGCCTAGCGCCCTGTGTAGGGAAGCAAGGGGGGATATTTGGCGTCGTTGTTCTCCCCGCAGCGCCCCTGGTAGCTACGTAGAGAACGGCTTACCCCGCGAGAGGACTCGAGGCCTCTGATCAGCCTCTTAACGGAGCAGTTGATCTTCTCGCAACGCCTGTTTGTCTACTTAAGACGCGTGCTTACCCCGCGAGACGACTCGAGGCCTCTGATTAGCCGCTTGACGGCGTAGTTAATCTCCTCGCAGCACCCCTCCAGCTGCAAAACTCCCTTCGCCTCTTCGCGCTCCTCTTCCTCCTCCTCCTCCTCTCCCATTTCCTCCTCCTCTTCGTCCTCTTCTCCACTCTCCTCCTCCTCCTCTGACTCCTCCTCCTCTGACTCCTCCTCACTCGCCTCTTCCTCCTCACTCTCCTCCTCTTCCTCATCCGAGCTCCCATCACCAGCATTAACCCCTTTCCCCTCCTTAAACCCTGAACCCCTCATCGCGCCATTTCCGCTTCCAGCTTGCGCCGTTCCCCTTTCCTTCTTCCCTCCGCCCTTCCTTCCCCCGCCTTGCGCGCGCAAATACGTCTTTTGCGCGTTCGTTAATTCCGACACCAGCGCAACCGCCGCCGTCTCTCGCGGCCCGCGTCTCACGGAGGCGAGATGCCAGTAGATCTGGAGCCCTTTCGGCTTCGTTTTCCGCGGTTTCCTAGAAACTTCCCGGCCGGTTTTCGCGGGAGACGCGCGTCCCTGCTGCTGCTGCTGCTTCGATGGCAGGAGCAGATCCTCGGCCTCCGCGCCGAGACTTGCGGCGGCAACTGCGGCGGAGATCGCGCGGCGGCGGCGGTCGCGGATGTTGCGCTTCTCGCGCTTCGCCTTTTTGCGCGTCTCGATCTTTGTGAGGCGGCTCGTCGACGCCTTGTGCTTCACCATAGTGACCGATTGGCGAATCCGCTACGAAACGATTCGTCGACAAAACGATTTGACTACGGAAACCCAAACGACAAATCAGGAAATGAATATCAAAGCTGGACAAGAGCGTTCCCTTGTGAAAGGATTTTCGTCTCTTGGCTGGCGGGAAAGCATAGAACGTGGGGGAGGGTTTTAGCGGGTGGACTTGGACAGAGGTGGGCTTCCAGCTCTGGTTTTGAATTTTCCGTGTTTTGAAAATGGTGGGATTTAGTGTACATGAACTGCATACGAAATATATTGTTGCTTGGAATTAACATCAACCATCCAAGATTTGATGTAAAACCACTAAGCCGTCCAGTGCGAATGCATGTATTGACACAGAATAATGGCAAAGAAAACAAATCATTTTTGTTTTAAAGGATTCAAAAGGCCTACGATGCAAGTAGCTTATCATGCAATCAAAGGCTCTAGCAAAAGGGCAACTACAATCCTACTTTCCAAAAACCCACTTCCTCTTCCATTGTCCACCGGATTTTGTGTTAATCATGACCAACACCTGAAGGATAAGAAGCAAAAGAGAGGGTGTGATTAAGGGATAGTATGCGACTAGTGGAAAAGCGAGCAAGTACAAAGATGTTTGTGCGGATGAATATTGGGTCACAGACATTTTGCGTCTGTGTAGGTAAGTGATGATGTTGGGATCAGGAAAAGAGCGAGGATGAAAGGTAGAGATGGAGGGGAAGGCAATGAGGATTGGGTGTAACCGACACGTGAGTGAGAGTGAGGGTGTGGCTTGGGGTAGCGTGTGACCTCCCTCCCCTCACACCAATCCATGGGTCCACCTCTTCAACCCTCCCAGCCCCCATCCAAATCATCCCAATCCCTCCCAATCCTTCCAAAATCCTCCCAATCCCTCCAAAATCCTCCCAATCCCTCCACAACTACACCTTGCCGAAAATGGAGCAAACTCAAACTTGCAGGAAGCAAGCTCTTGCGAGGAGGGGAGTGATTCCTCCCTCACTTCAATCCATCAACCCTCCAAACCCCGCCCCGCTTCACACTATATCACCATACAGCCATGCTACCCTCATTCCCCCCCACCCGCTCGCCTTGCAGCCGGCTGGGTCTTGAGAGGATGGCAGAGTCTCCTCCCGCACTCCAATCCACCTGTCAACCCTTTGCACCCCTTCCAACCCCTCCACATCCAGTCATACCATGCATGGTTACAACAGTGTCACCAGCTCACCTTGCAGCCAGAAAGCCCTTGCGAGGACGGCAGCTGTCAACCCTCCGCACCCCTCCCAACCGCGGAAAACCCAGCGATACCTCACAAGCTTACCATGCTAATCAGCAGCTCACCTTGCAGCCGGCTAGTTCTTGCGACGAAGGCAAGTTTTCCTCCCTGACTCCAATCCACCTGTCAACCCTCCGCACCCCTCCCAACCCCTCCACGGCCGCCCCCACACACGCCTTCCCTCCCCTCCAAAACACCGCGTTTAAAAAATCTATAAGCAGCAGCCGGTGCACAGTGACACTCGCTACAGGTTTGATGACTATATCGAAAAAGCACTGGGAAGGGGCCCAACCGAGTGTGACTATAGCGGAGAGGAGGGAAGCGATGAGAGAGGAGGAGGGGTCCAATAGGAAGAGGTCTTCCGAGGGAGGTGTAGACGTGGTGGTGCTTGTAGCGTGAGAAATGCCCTTGCTTATAAGGCGTACAAGAGCATTGGAGCGGGAGGGGGGGACAACCTGGAACAGGGGAAGTGGGCAAAGAGCGTAAAATTAAATAGTAATGAACATTGGAATAGTGCTTATTATACCAGTGAGAAGTACGCATTGGACTGGGGAAGAGTTCCGAATGAGGTTTTTGTAAGTGATATCTAATATTGCTTTAACTATTGATGACTGGATCAGGTGGAGGGTCACTTAGGCATACGTCCTATATGTACACCTTACCTTCTCCCTCACCCGTACTCTTCATAAGCTCTCTCCCCACCTGTCCTCGTTAGAACACCTTCTCACCTGTTCCAGCAGCACGGTACACTTTTTGTTCACCCCAGCCATGATATCTAATCAGGTAACCCATACCTGGATCAAGCAAAATCTTGAAGTGACTTATAACCTTTCCTCTTGTCCTCGTTATAAGCCCATTCTCACCTGTTCCAGCGCGGTACATTGCTCGTGCACTCCAGCCAGAATATCCGCCCTGTTCACCCATCCCGTTTTAAGCAAGATCTCTTATGTCCTACACCCTTCTCACATGTCCTCGTTATAAGCTCAACGCACCTGTTCCAGCAGCACAGTACATTTCTCATGCACTCCAGCCAGAATATCCGCCCTGGTAACCCGTCCGGTTTTAAGCAGCATCTCTAGTTGCTTAATAGCCTTCTCACACTGCTCCCCGCTCCCACCACCACCGCTGCTGCTGATCATTACAGTGCCACGTGTCAGCCCGTGAATGGCTGCCCTAACCGCCATAAGACCAGTAGCAGCAGCATCAGGATACACGGCCACCATGGGGATCGCTCTACCCTGCAACCCTGCTGCCGCTCCCCACACTCCCCCCCTCCCTCCCCCAAATCCCCCTCCCCCTACCCCTCCCCCTCCCCCTCCCCCTCCCCCTCCCCCTCCCCCTCCCCCTGGTCTCCTGAACGGCAGCGGGGCAGCAGGCATGGCGCCTGGCATGGGGGGAACGAGTTGGATGGGGGGAGGGGCGGAGGGTGCAAGGGCTAGGGCTAGGCGGCTGGGGTTGTGATCCCCTGCTGGTGCTGGTGCTGCTGCTGGTGCTGCTGCTGATGGTGGTGGTGGGGTGTAAGGGACAAGAGCCTGTGGAGGGGAAACAAGGTGGGGGAGAGAGGGGGAGAAGGGGGACGGGCGGGGAGCGGGGAGCGGGGAGAGGGAGAAAGTTGGAGCAAGAGGAGTGGGAGGAAGGTAAGAGGCATATCAAGTGGAGGGTTAAGTGCTGGCTTTTGATTTGCCGGCGGACTGCATGGGGCACCGATATTATAAGGGCAGGGGGGGATGGTGGTGGTGGTGGTGGTGGTTGTGCTGGTGGTGCTTGGATTTATGGTACCAGGGCCTGTAAGGAGAAGATATGGTGGGGAGTGAACACGTGTCAGTTTACCAATAAGCGTTATAGTACCAAGGCTTGTACCATAACTGTATGGCACCAATCACCTAATGAAAGTATTGTACCAGGGCCAGTAAGGAGAAGATATGGTGGGTAACAAGTGTTAGTATGCGCTATTTTCGGTTTGCAGGCAACGTCTGGAGCGATTTATCAACAGTTGGTGCTAATAGACTATATACTTAAGATATAAACTTAGATTGATATTCTATATGTAGATGTGTACACCTGAAACAGCTCACCTGACTGTAGTCCGCCACGTTCGCCCTTTCAAACGGATTGGCAGGCATCGCTTTCATTGGCCCTACTCCCCCATTTCCCCCCAATGTGCCTATTGCGCCCCTTCCGCCAAATCCGCCACGTCCGCCCCCGCTCCGCGCTCCCTCGGCTCCGCCCACGCTCCCCGCCATGGAACCAGCGCGCGCAAGAGTTCCCCCACCGGCGGCGCGGGCGGAAATGCTCGAAGCTGATTGGACGACGGGAGGCTGCATGGACCCGACGCGGCTGAGCTGCGGCCCCACCACTTGCACCGCGCCGAACGGCGCCGATTGCGGCGCGAGTTGCGGCGCGAATTGCGGAGCGGCAAACGCGGCGTGGTAGATCGTCGCGGAGCCGGCTGAAACCGTCTGTGCCGGGCGAATGGACGGCTGTGATGAGCTGTTGAGGATGTACGGACGCGATGAGGGCTGCTGCGAAAAGGAACTGGAGCGAGTCTCCCCGCTAAGAGCTAACCCGCTATTTGCGTTAGTAGCCCCGCCATTGGCCGGCTGAGAAGACGCGTGGAGCGATAACGATCGCTGGACGGGCGGCGCGGCAGATTGGCTCACGTCGCGAGACATATTTGCGGCGAAAGCGGAGGCGGAGGCGGAGGCGGAGGCGGAAGCCGCGGGGGTTTGAACCCGCTGCTGCCCTTCGGCGCGTGCACCCGCTGGTGAGCTCTGCTCGCGATCGACGGTCAGGATCTCCTGGGAGGGCGGCGGTGAGACCACATCTTGGGAGACATCTAAAGGAGCCGGCGGCGCGCGGTAGCAGGAGCTTACTACTGTTGACTTTTGGTGGACGTCTCTAGAGACGTCCTTAGAGACGTCGAGCGTGGAGGGTGGCGGGCGGTACGCGGCGCGAAACGCGGATGCTTGCAGCTGATTGGCCGCAGGTACTTTTGGACCTGCCGTTGTAGCCGTTGTAGCCGTTGGATTCGTTGAGGAAAGAGGCGCGGTGGGAGCAGTAACAGTCGGGGCACTACTAGTCACGGGAGCCCGAGAAGTAGCAGCAGGAGCAGGAGGAGGAGGAGGAGCGGATGGGGAGAGAGCAGCAGCGGCAGCGCCGGCACGAGCGCTACCAGCTGCAGCAGCAGGGTGCGGAGCGGTTGTAGGCAGTACAGCGGCTACTGCAGCAGCTGGAGCGACAGGAAAAGCGCCGTCGGGTGTCCCCCCGCCGCCCCCGCCGCCACCACCAGCAATCCCGCCAGTCGGGCGCAGCCCGTAGGTGAGCGCGATTCCGTGGGGTGCGTTCCGAAGCGAGTCGCGCTCCTGCGCCAGCTCTTGCACCTGATTGGTCAGCTGCACTACGTGGTTTATCAGCTCGGCGCGCGTCAACGAGTCGTCCCGCCCCGCTTCGAGTGCCTGCGATTACGCGCGCATGTCGGAAACGGAGGGGTTGGGAGGGGGTGGGGGGGGGGTGGGGGGGAAGGAAGGGTTGGCTGGGCAAGAAGGGAAAGGGGTTTGTTTTACGCAAGACCCGCCTTCGAGCGCCTGCGATTGCGCGCGCATGTCGGAAAGGGAGGGGTTGGGGGGAGGGGTGGGGGGGAAGGGTTGGCTGGGCATGTCGCAAGACCCGCTTCCAGCACCTGCGATTGTGCTGAATGTGGGGGAAGGAGGGGGGCGGGAAGGAGTGAGGGGCCGGGAAGAGAGGGCGTGGGGACGTGGCATGTCCACTCTTCTTCGCTGCACTCGATACAAGCAACCTGACCTCCCCGCCATCTCGCAGTTCTTTCACCCTGTCATACTCGATAGAAGCAGAACCCGACCCGCGTGTAGGCGAACAGTTGCCGTCGCATGTCCGCCCTCTCTCTTTCCCGCAGAATCACTTCCAGCCCGCCACGCGCCCCGTCATCTCGCAGTTCCCTCACCTGGTGGCACTCGATATAAGCAAGCCCGACCTGCGTATAAGCGAATAATTGTCGTCGCATGTCCGCGGTTTCCCTCTCTCGCTCGCGCAGCATCGCTTCCAGCCCCGCCACGCGCCCCGTCATCTCGCAGTTCTCCATCTCAACGGCTGCCAGCTTCCGCTCTAGCGCCTCGTCCTCCAAACACGATCTCCGCCGTCCGTTTCCGCTCGCATCTTCGCCGTTCGTTTCCGTCCCTTCCTCCACCTCTGCGACCTCGCACGGGAAAGGGTACCCTTCCGTGCGATGCCCGGGGATCGCGGCGTCAGTTGCGGCGGGCGGGACGGAGAAATGCGCGTCGACCCATTGGCCTACTTTCGACGCGGCGCGCGCACGGTCCTCTGCAAACGCTCGCTCTTCCGCGAACTGTTCCGCTGAGGGGTCTCCGGGGGGTTCAAAATACGCACGGGACGGGTGAAAATACTGCGGGTGGGTGACTGTAACGGGTGTGATTACTGCGGGGGGAGGAACCCATGCGCGGTACGCGCTTGGCGGGTGCGTGGCTACGCCCGCAACGGGCGGCATGATGACTACAGAACTATCGTGCTCGCTAAAAGTGAGTTTTTCCGTGCAGCCTAGCTAAGAGTTCCGTTCAGTCGAATGCTAGCAATGGTTACTGCTGCAAGGTGTTGGGAAAGTGCTATGGGCTATGGAGCAAGTGTGCGTCAGCCTCTAACAGTGAACAAGCTATGGGATGTCTAACGGCCTTGCTAACTCACGCACTGAGGTCAGGTGGTGGAGCGTGACCCTGCTGCTGAAGCTATTCATGCAATTTGCCCCCATGCTTGCTGAATCGCCCGAGGGAGATGACTACACCGCACTTCTGTTGTGACTGACCTGACCAGTGACCGCACCACAATCAGCAGCAGGCCCAGCAGAAATGTCCGCCTGACCCCCGAATCGCCAATCTGCCCATGTTCTTCAGTGCGTGGGATGATTGTGCCAAGCCGCCTTGATGGAGAAGCAAGGACACGGTGACGCGTGGGGCTCTCTCCGTGCTCGCAGGTGAGATAAGCGGCTACGATTTGGAACATCGAAATGAGATGCCCCACGTTCGTTCTGTATAGGCTGGTTTGGAGTCGCACGAAAAGCTCCACACAATATTGCGGGATTACGTCTACACTAGACATATTTCTTCTTAGGCTCGTTTCCATACATTTCTTCTAACTGTTTTGCATATCCTAATAATGAAGAGAACGCAAAAACACTATTGTGGTCTTGGCACCCAGGGTTAAGGAAAAGAAACTTTTGTGAGGTAAAACATCGGAAACTTTTTATTGCAAACAAAACGAAAGAACCTTTGTATAATTTTTTTTTTGCTTACTACCAGTATCACAAATCTTTGGGAAGAGCTCCTCCCACTTCAGACACCCGCTACGCTCGCAACGACAAGACATGTCGCAAAAACACTAACGCGTACGGAGAGCAACCCTCACAAAGCACACACTGCACCATCTGCCAATGTCGCCAAAGAAATTTGACTAGTACTCCTCGAACTGACCAGCCAGACACCTTTCGCCCATCTGTCCACCCCGCACCACACAGCATTCAACTCGAGCGCAATCCGCAAGGCGAAATGGCTCTTGTGCGTTCCTCGCTGGAAAGAAACCCTAGGAGGAGTAACTACTGAGCGACGGGCATCTCTATGTGCCGCATCAATTCCTTTGGCAAATTTTGCGCCGTCATCCGCGGCCCTTCCGCGTAACCCCCCTGAACCAGCCCGGGCGTTCTGTAACCGCCAGTAATCGTGTTGATTGGGTTACCATGCAGGTCAAGAGCAGCAGGGTTTCCACCCGTCCACACATTAACGCTCATCTTTCGTTCCGTCTCGAACAGCGACGCCAGCATTTTCTTCACTGACCGAACCGCGCCAGCCTTACGCGTTCCGCCACCGCCGCCGCCGCCACCGCCACCGCCACCGCCGCCGCCGCCGCCGCCGCCACCGCCGCTGCTGCTGCGGCTGCTGCTGCTACTGTGCCGCGTGCTGTTACCCTGCGCGCCCCTGCTATCGCTAACGATGTTTGTGATATTCCCTTCGCACAGGGCCGCCACTTCTGCATCCTTCCCGCTGTACACAACACCAACTTGCAGAGCAGCATGGCGAATTTGGTTACCCTGTCGTTCGCCTAGGTTCGTCGGGGTCCGCGCGCGAAACTCCTGCGAAAACGACCTGGATTTCGCGAGGTTAGCAGGACCTGACGAATTGCTGGTCAGAGGCGAAGAACCCGCCGCTGCGGCGGCCGCCGCTGCCTGGAGATCTGCGACTGAGTGGACGCGCGATGGTACACGACTGCTGCAGTTGCTGCTGCCACCGCATGCGCTGAGCGCAACTGACGGCACGCGACGCAGGGTCGTTGGTTCCCTTTCGTCGCCGCAATCGGGGACGAAATAGCCGCTGCTGTCGTTACTGTAGAGCGAGGCGTTGGACGGCTGTGAGGTTAAACGGCGGTTGCTTATAACGGGTTGGATCAGCTGGCCGACGGATGGCAGGTGTTCTTGTCTCGAGAGATGATTGAGAGCGGGAACGGAGTTGGAGTGCTTTATACAGGCAGGACGCTGGTTAGGTTGATAGTTGGCGCTGCTGGCTGCTGTATCGGGGATGGAGTGTACTAAGTCGTTGAAACCTTGGAAGCGTTGACTCAGCTCATTGCTTGATCCATCTGTGGCGAGAATGTCGAGTGCAGGTACCGAAGCGGAGTGTTTCATCCCACCACAGAATCGCGACGTCCGTATAACGGGTACGCCTGCAATCGAGGCTTGCAACAGCGAGGACGTGCGGCTGAATTTCGAAAATGCCGGCGAGAGACCCGCGGGGGAGTCAATCCCCGGGGAGTAATCATACTTCTCGTGGCGCGGAGTCGAGGAGTTCGAGGAGGCGGCAAGCGAAGGCGCGTCGTGAGGCTGCGAGGAAGTTTCGTCGACTTCGGGAATCGAGGTGACGGAGATTAAAGCGGACGGCAGCCCGTGAGTGAGGCAGATCTCTTCGATCGCGACTCCAGCCTGATCGAGTAACTCGCACGTTGCCTCCAGCTCTGAAGTCGGTTGGAGAAGGGGAGGGTGCGGGTGACAAAGAATTAGGGATCTGTTCGAAAAATGTGCAATACATGCGCGCGACGTGGAAGATACATTCTCTAAATATAAGCTGGGAGGTACAATCTATTGCAGTATAGATTTATAACCAAGCGAATCTCGGCCAATCAACCTTACCTGTCCATTGGTTGTCGTGCGCGTTAGCGAGCGACTCCACGTAATCCGCGACGTTATCTTCGTACGAGTAACCCGTTTCGCCCTCATCGTCGTCTTCGAAGATCAGGGAGTCGAATCCTCCCATCGGGCATGCTTCCGCGGAGTCCGCGTCTTTGGGTGCGGGGCACCAGCTGGTGTAGCGCGTCGAGTGGAATCGGTTGTCAGCCATGGTTGCTAGTACGGGTCGAGTAGAGCCTCAGATCAGAAGTAGCGGGGCGTGGGGAGTAGATGTCGAAGCGCTGCTGAGTCACGGCTCTCCTAATTCAGTTAGCAATGTCGAATGGTTAGTACCGCTGCCGGCTCCGCTTCCAGGTTCCGACAATGCAGCGACTCACCTGCAGCTACACAACACCCGTTTCCGATCGACGTTGGCGAAAAGATAGATAATGCAATGGCGGTGAGATGAGCACGATGGTAGACGAGCGTCGGCCATTGAGTGATATACTTCTAGATTCGAGCTCGTTTCTGGGGCAGGGACACTGATGCAATCGCTACAGCACTGCTGGAAGTTTGCCTCGCCTTCGACTTCAGGGCAGGAGGGAATGGCAACACACGGGGGCGAATTCACTCACCTTCGCCAGCCAATCCGAGCTGCAGGAACGGACAAGGTGCGGGGAGGGGAGACAGGCAGCACTGGTGACTGGTGTGGCGGACGGGATGTTTGGCAAGGGAGGAAGAACCCCTCGGCGATAAGTACAACAGCTAGCCGAGGCGCGGTGCATTGCACTTTGCCTGAGTTATTTCTGGCCAGGCGATGCAAGCAAGGGGAGGATGGACATTGGTCACAGGCCTGAAGGATTCTCGAGAGAGAACTGCTAGGAAATCGTTTTTCTGTATGATCTAAGGTATTGTGTGGTGGAAAGGGAGGGAAGAAATTGGAGGAAGGAAATTGCAGGAGGGAGGGAGGAGGAAACGGGAGGCTGCGGATGAGGAAAAGGGGGAATGCTGGGGGCAGTATAGTTTTTTTTACGGAAAACGGGCAGAAGAAAGGAGTTTTGTACTGTACGGAAGCTGTGGCATGGCAGCATGTCAGCTTTCAGGCTGCTTTACAGGCGAAGGGGGAGCAGCAGTGACAAGCAACGGAGGTGGGATTGGTTTGGGATAAGACAAACAGCTGGGATGCTCGTCTGACGTGACAGCTGTTGTACGAGCACTTTTCACGACTATTTTTTTTTCTGTCGTTACAAGTGACGAGTTGTGTAAGGAATAACCATTCCTTACTGGGCTCGCCACAGCGAGTACACGCGAACCTCTCGGTTCCGCAGGCTCGGCCCTCAAGTCACGCGCCAAACCAGTCCCCGCCGAACTCGTCGGGCCCAAACTCATCCCGAGTCGCCCCGAACCCAATTTGACCCCATCACCCAGGCGACTTCAGAGCCCTTGACTGGTCTCATCCTCGATATTCAACCCTGGTCAACTCACACTATATAAGCCCTAGGTCTCATTTGGATAGATCATTCTGTAATCACGTTATAGTATTCTGCGCTATACTCTGAGTTATAATCCATAACAGCTGGTATCGGAGCTATGTTCCTGCCCATTAGGCTTCCGGTAGAGGAGCAGACCCTATCGGGGAAGGTGCCGGAAGGATACTGATGGCGAGCGGACGTCGCGGAGATTAATTGCGCGGGCGTTGCCGATGCCGTCAGATCCTGCCCGATGGACGACTGGGATTGGCCGGTCCTCCCCTTCCCTGAGCATAGACGAAATTATTTCCCGTCGAAGAGCAGGCGACGTCTTCGCCCTGTTTTTCGGGTATGTTCGTTAGAGCTTTCGTAATTTTCGGGTGTTCGGACGGAGCCTTCGGATGGGCTTCCGAAAAAAAAAAAGGCTTCGTCATGAGGAGACAAGTGCACGGGAGTCCTCAGGCGGCCGGGAGTTGGTCTTCAGGAGCGCGCGGGGTAGCGAAATTGGCGGGACGTACGGCGATGTTCGTCTGGCACGCCATGCAGTGGCAGGGTAAACTGTAGCTGTGTCGCACGTCCTGGCGTTTCCGGCAGGCTAGTTGCAGGCGATGGAGGGGACTTCAACACTATTTCGGCAATGGGCGGATCCGACAATTTCGGAACGACACGATCGCACAAGGACGTATGGGTGTGCAGTTGTGTGGGAGCAGCTAGGATTAACGACCTCGGTGCTATTCACCACGACGGCCATCTGGAGGTGATGACACTCTGCTGGAGTGAGTGTACTCAGCGAGGGCGACTTCCCGCGTGGGGAAGCGTTTTTCGTGGACCAGCGATTCATAACCCCACGATCAACGGAAACGGAGGCCACCACTATTGGGTGTGTATTAAGTGTTCTTCCACCGGTCGCCGAAAGCGTTACCTGTCATGAACTGAAGCAGTGGAAGAAGAATGACGAGAGTACTGGAGCAGATGGGTTAGCGAAGCTCGGGCTGCTGCTTCTCTCAGCTACGTCGCCCGAAAATCACCATCCCCACCATATAGCAGTGTCGATTTATTAATCGACGCCTCTTGGCTGAATAAGGGAGTTAAACCTGCGAACTACACTGTGCTGATGGAGTGTCCCCGAAATATTTCGAGTTACTGTTGCAGCAAAGCTGAGGGTTTCACCTAACGTAGCAGAAGGAGTTTCTGACTTTTGCGGGTGTAGTTTGACGAGTTTCTGACAAAGGAGGGAGCTGTCCAGCGGTCAGTAGGCGAGCTCATTAAAGCTCCTTTGACTAGAAGCGTGCGCACTCCTATCTCTGCGGATTCTCCTAGTTATTTAAACAGCAGCGAAGCGATTTTGGGTAACCTACAACAGCCACGAGATGGGTGAACGTCTGCACGGCCAGCTGGCAGGTGTCACAGGATTGAATGTGTTGAGGAAAAGTTGCACTATCGATAGATACAAGACGCTTTTATACTTCTGAGGTACATCAGCTAACCAGGTTTATCCTATCCAAAGGGAATAGGCCCTTCTAGAAATAGAATCACCCTGAGTATAGCCACGAGAGGCTATTGGCTGTAAGGAATTACGACAAGATTACGCTAGATATAGCGCGCCAGTACATCCCCAGCCTGGTCGGTGATATAATGATAATAATAGGATAACCCAAAGGATAATGAGAAAGGAGGAATAGGAAACCAAATGGGATGTGATAAAAGATCAAAGAAATCAGGATAGAAATATGAATGAGATCGAGGAAAAAGATGAAAATAAGAAAGAAGTGTAACAGGGTCGTACTCTCACACTTCCCCCCTTCAAAGCTGGGTGGTAGAAGTAACACCCTGCTTGACAAGGCAGTTGCGAAAAGGACGACGAGCGTTACCCATATTAGATTCAGGAACCCAACTATCCTCAGAAGGATCATAACCCTTCCAGCGAATGAGAAGCTCGACAGTGCCATTCCGACGACAACGGTGTGCGAGCACGGACTCGACCTCGTACTCGGGTTTATCGTGGACGAGGACGGGCGGCGGTGGCGGTTGGCGTCCCGTGAAGACCGTGTTTGGATCTCAATATGGCTTCAGAAGTTGGACATGAAAGGCGTTGTGAATCTTCCAGATAACTAGCAGGCGTAAACGGAAGCGAGAAAGGGTGACATGTTCTTTGACGAGAAAGGGCCCGCAGAAGCGAGGTCGTAGTTTGGATGGGAGATGACTGATATCGAGATTGCGGGTGTCGAGTAGAACCTGGTCTCCCACAATGATGGTGTGGTCAGTGCGGTGGCGATCGGCCTGGCGCTTCTATTGCTGCTGAATGTCGAGGACGCGCTTGTGGGTCCGATTCCAAAGCTGATGCATGGTCGTGATGAATTCGTGTGCGGGTTGGACTGTAGCTGATGCTGTCAGTTTTCGTGGCATGAGCGGGTGGCGTCCGTAACAGAGGAAGAACGGCGTCTGTCCAGTAGCGGCGTGAGTGGCGTTGTTGTATGCAAATTCCAAGACTGGCAGGTGCAAGTCCTATTTAGAGATTTCGGCTTTGCATGCTGTGCGGAGGAGCTGCTCTACAATTTGGTTGAGGCGCTCAGTCTGTCCATCTTTCTGCAGATGGTAGGCGGATGACATGGCAAGTTTGGTCCCGAGCAGAGACCTCAGTTCCTTCCAGAACTTGCTGGTGAACTTGGGGTCTCGGTCGGAGATGAGTGTGGTCGGAATGCCATGTTGTGAGATGATATAGCGAACAAATAGTTGGGTTGTCTCTTCAGTGCGTGCTGTCGTGTGTGTCGGGATGAAGTGTCCCATTTTGGAGAATTTGTCGATGACGACAAGGAATGCGTCATGACCGCTTGTGGTAGTTGGTAACCTGGTTATGAAATCCAGGCTAACCACTTGCCATGGCTGTTCTGGGATAGGAAGAGGCTGTAGCAGTCCTGCCTTTTTCTGTGTGCTGCTCTTCATCCGCTGACATATAGCATACGAGGTGCAGTAACTGGCGCAAAGGAGGGTAATTGGGTACCCATATTTTCGTTGATCCCTTCCAGTACGCGATGCCACTGTCCCACTGTAGCAGGTGTCGCTTTTCTGCCAAAGGAATTTCAGGGTAAATGGTGTACCCATTTGTGAGGAGTCCCTTGAGTAGTGGGTTCATCCCTTCGACCTAGATTGTGGCAACGTGTGCAGGCCGACTGAGAGCGTCTGCTTTATTTTTGTGGCCGCGCTTGTACACGATGTCATAGTGGAAGTGCGTCTCAAGGAAGTCAATCCACGAGACCTGCCGATAGTGCTAAGAGGTGACACTGCCACATCCTGAAGATGTTGGGGTGGCTATTAGAACTCAGTCACTAACCACTGAGTTAAAAGGGCTTGTTAAGTAGCAGGTAATTGCACCCATAAACCCCTGGGCTCTGCACCTGTGACCCTTCTCCGAGGACCAAGGGCAACCCCAGCGTGTATCTTGATAGTAGCCTCGCTGCCAGTCGTTGTCGAGGGTCAGGGTCAGGGAGGTGTAGAAGTCGTCGTCCATGTACTGAGAGACCATGGTGCTGGTGAACATCCACAGCTGCCTTACAGCCTTCTGGTAGTCGAAACCTGCAGGAGGACAACAACAGTAAACAACAGAGGGGATTGTGTGAGTAGAATGCGTTAGGGGCAAACACATTGGGCCAACACACATGGCTAATGCACCTGCACATAGCGCAACTTACCAGGGAGCTTGTTTATGAAGAGTCTGGCCAATTGCCTCAGCCACTGCCGGAAGCGGGCCATGCGCATGTCGTCGTCATTGATGTAGGCCTTCACATTGAAGAGTTTTGTGACGTCAAGGTTGTAGAGGTCGTTGAAGCGGCCATTGATGCAGATGACGAGGTCACTAGCGTACTTCCGGGCAATGACGTTGCACGACACCAGGTCACTACCCGTCTTGTCATCGTCCAGCTGACGCTCATGGAGAGTGTAGACAAAGGAGTAGGCTGTCCACACCCAACACCCGGTGCTGCCTCTTCTCTTGAGAACCATGGCGGTCGAGAAACGCCCCGAGGAGCTCG